GTGGCCGGACCTCCTGTGACAAAGCTAAACGTACAGCACGCCCCTCTTTGGCTTGAAAGGCCGACTCGCACTCGAAAGCAAGACGTTCGGGAAGGAATCTTTGCTGATCGCATCTCTAGTGGGGAAAACACTCCGCAGTTTAGCTACACCTCGGGGGAGCGGGCCTGCTGAGCTCCGAGCCGGCAGATCAGGGCGGGTCCCCGGGCCGGCCACTCACCGACTGAGACTCCGCGGAGCCAGTCGAGTGGCACTTCTGCCTACGCCTGTTTCCCTCCTCTGTCCGGTGGGCTTCCCCTTGGCCACTTTGCCCCAGAGGACTGTTCGAGCACGTAAAAGAGGGAACGCACGTGAAAGTCCCTTTGGGGAGCACGAAGGCCCGGCCCCGGCACCCACGGCCGCTGCCGCCCGAGTTTCCCATCTGTCAGCCCCGTCGCGCCTCCCTCCGCCCCGGTGGGAGGACGCCCGGCACAACTGCCAGCGTCTGTGCTCCCCTCCCCGGGCTGGGTGGCCATCCGAGGGCCGGGGGACGCTGCTCCTCGGGGCCCACGCACTCCTGTATCAGGAGGACCGCACAGCGGCGTCGGCGAGTGGCTGGCGCTCTGCCGGCAGCTCCGGGGCACGGGGCCAAGCGCCTGGCTTCAGTTACGGGGCCCTGGCTGCTCTTGCGAAAACACAGTTGTCCGACCGGCGCAGACAGAGCCCCGCGCTGCCCCGGTTGCCGCGCTCCCCAACGAGACGCGAGCCCGACGGTCTGTCAACAGCTGGGCTTTGTGAATGTGGCTATTGTGCTGTCAGACGCCCCGTGTTGTGGCTTCGCACTCTGGTGACACGGAGCAGCGGGTGCTGTTTGCTGGCTCGCAGACACCGAAGCGTCTGCAAAGGGCCCTCGTCCTTAAGCAGGCGCATTAGCGAGAGAACACGCCGGGCGCCAATCTGAAATGAAGACAGAGCCGCCGGAGGGCTGCGGGGACGGCGTTCGGCTCTTCGCAGGTGGCAGCGGCGTGCCCGCACAGGAAGGCCTGCCGCCCCAGCACACGGGCTCACACGCGGACGCGCCGCTGCTGTTCACAGCTCCTCCGACAAAGGGCAAGTCCCAAACGAGCCCCAGCTCGCCCGCAGGCAGTCACAGCGGAACAGCAGCGGCCACTCCCTCTTCCTCCCGGTGACACGTGTTTTCGGCACCAAATAGCTCTGGGTGGTGCCAACCGTGCAAACCCCAGGAGACCCCTCTTGTTCCTCGTCCCCTTCTGCTCCTCCCCACTTCCCTGCCTCCGGACGATAACCTCCAACACCTCTCCACTTACAGGAGGGAACGAGCCGAGGCCTCTCGTTCGGGGAGAGGGAAGAGTGTGGGTCGGCTCCCAGCGGCCCCACCGGTTCCCGTCCGCGCGCACAGCAGCCAAGGCGCTGGGGGCGGGGGGGGGCTTCGGTGGGCACGGGCGTGGGGAGCCCGGCTTTCTGTGCTCAGAGCGCGCCCGGCAGCGGAGAAGGCTGCACAGCACCTCGCAGACGCCTCAGCTCCGGGGTCTTGCGATCTGGGCGCCCCCTCCGCCCCCCGCGGCCGCGGGGGAAGGATCAGAAGACACGCTGACGTCAGGGCGCCGGGCGGACGCCGCGCCCTGTTGACGGACGGCCTTGCTCAGCGGACAGGCAGAGCTGCTGCCCGCCTTTCCACGTCCTCACCACCTGCTGCCGCCCGGGCGTCCATGGCAACAGGTTTCCAACACGAACACACACGCCTTCTGAGACACAGCAGAAACACGTGCTTGTCACCGCCTCCACCAGGCGGGCTGGACGTCCTCACCGGACCGGCGGCTCCCGGCGACGGCGGGGTTTGTCTAGGCCGACACTCAGACATTTAAGCCGCCGCCTGCCCCTCTGCCTGCCCCTTGGAGGCCCAGCGGCCCCGGGGGCTTGGCTCTAGGTCTCCGTGCAGGCCCTGATGTCCGGGGCACAGGCACACGGAGGCCTGCCCTGCCCTGCCCTCCGAGGCCCTCGGCGCCAGAAGGGACAATTCAAGGTCCGGCTCCAGCGCCAGCCCTGCTGGGACCTGGAGGACGCCCGCCGGCAGGTCTCCGAGAACTGCCCGTGAGCCTGCCGGGCTCCCACGCCGACGGCCGTGCCCGACCCTGCGTGGCCCAGGGGGCACCTCTGTGCCTCGCAGCTGCCACGCAGGCGCCCGCGTGCACGCAGGCCAGGCCTGGCGCACCGCCCGCGCGGCTGAGCTCACTCTCCTCCGCGCCGAGTGGCAGCACGTCCACCCTGTTAACGACGCCGCATGCTCGGTCCCCGTAATACAGACCCTTTCAATCACCGTCGGGAGCGGGGAGGCCTCCGAGCTGGGCGCGGCGCCAGCTTCGTAAGACTTTCCATGAGGGAAGCCTTTTGTTGTCTCCCAGAGCAGCCTGAGCTCAGGAAGGGGGGTGCGGCCCAGACGTGGGGCAGGCGCGGTCCCGGCCGCCTGGCCCACCTGCTTGCTGTTTCAATGACACGCACGCTTGTGGGGGCCCCGGGTCGCCTGCAGGGGCTGAAAGTGCCGGCTGTGGAGGCGGCGGAGGCAGCAGGGAGGGCGAGGCGGCCACAGGGGCCGTGGCGGCAGACAAGCCAAGGCCGTGGGAGCCGCCCCTCTGGCCGCAAAGCTTGAAGGAGGGGCCCTGTCTTCGCAAAACGGGGTGCAGGTCCCTGCCACACACATTCTGGAATGCTCTCCGTGTGCTTCAGGCCTGTCGAGGACGCGCTTCCGGCCCACGTAGGAAAGGGGGGCCGCAAGCAATGGCGCAGGCCCGCGCGGGGACGGAGGGCCCTGCCCGGGGTCCTGTGCTCCCCGCCAGCTCTCAGCGGCGCGACCGCAGGGACCTGCCCGAGAAGGGGCTTGCGGACGGCTTCCACGGCACACGAGAAGATCTGCGTTTCAAGTCGCGTGAGGTCCCCGACACGAACCTTTTAAAGAACGTGCTCCCGTGCTCGACGGGGGAGCCTCTGCTCAGGGCCAGAACCTCACAACTGCTGCTGCTGAGCCAGGGAAGGACTGAGAGCCGACGCTCGTTTGCCGGCCGAGCGCCTTCGAAGACCTTCTGCTCCGCAGACCGAGCGGACAGTCCCCGCGGGCAGAGCCCATTTCCAAACACCTCGGCCACGCAGGACCTAACACGCGGCCAGCGAAGCCCCCGGTGACGGCACTCGCGCCCCCCGCGACCCTTAGGGAAGCGCCCACGCCCCGCCCACAGCGCGGCCACTCTTGTCCACGTCAGGGAACCACCACGCAGCCCCGCGCCCTCAGAATTCGGGGAGAGGCAGCCTCTGGCGCCTCCCCAGGCTCCGACCTGTGTGGAGGCTGCCCCTCTGGTGAGAAGGGCTCCAGGTGCTCAGTAATCAAGTTCGGCGCAAGATCCAGCCTCGAGGCCCCCACGGGCCCTGGCTGCCGGCAGGCGGCTCTCCCGCCCTCGGTGGGGGCGGCCGGGGCGCGTGCTGCTCACTCCGGCGGCACAGCCAGGGATGCCTGGGGGTGCGGGGAGAGCCAGGCCCTGTCTCCCTGACGCCTGTGGCCGCGGGGGGCTTGTCCACTCAGACCGCGGGATGCAATCAGCCTGGCACGGGGGGCGGCGGCGGGTGCAGGGGCGTCAAAGGCCTTCTGAGGCGGCGCTGCCAGGACCGAGCCGGCGTCGGCAGAGGGAGTGACAGGGACGCCGCGGCTCCTCCCGTCCTGCCCACGGCCTGGGCCGCCTCCCGGGCCGTGAGGACCCTCCGAGCAGCTGTGGGCAGCGGGCCGGCTGTCGGCCCGCGGGAGGGGCGGCCGTGCTGGGGGCACCTCCGAGGGCGGGAGGCCGCGGGCCGCAGAGGGGCCTCCCGGTGGGGAGGTCAGCAGTCGCGGGACACGCGTGTGCCAGCACACAGCACGGGGGAGGGGGGGCGGCGGAGGTGCCGGGGGCAGGGGAGAACCCAGGGGCGCGGGGAGTGTGGGCCCAGCTGGGACGTCGCCCCTTCCCGAGGGCCCGCTGCACCGGCGCCCGGACTGCGACAGGCGCAGGAGGGGCGACGCCGCCCGCCAGGAATGGCGGCTCCCGGGCCCCTCGCACAGAGGGGCCGCGGGAGGCTCAGGGTGCGCGACCGTGCGGAGAACCCGACCTTCGCAGACGCAGCGAGGCAGCGGTCCCGGCCGGAGGCGGCCCGCGCCGACCGGGCCTGGTCCTCGGGCTCCCCTGGGCCCGCTGGCCGGGATGACGGGGGCCTCTGCTCGGGCGCCCGTCTGTGTCCAGGTCTGGGGACCGGCTGAGGGGAAGGGGCTCCACACGCGACGCGCTTGCTGCCACAGCCCCAAGAAAAGCGCGGCTCTACGGTGAGTCCGCCGAGAATCCCCCGCCCGCCGTCTCCCGTTGCCACTGCGCAGAGGAACGCGGCACTGGGGCTTCCGCGCCTGAGTGCGGCTGTGCGGAGGGCACGTCCCTGCCCAGCCATCCGGCGGTTCCGCACAGAGCGCCGCGCGCCCTGCGGGGGCTCCAGGCCCCGCCCCCTCACCAGGCTCCTGACGAGACCCTCGCAACACTCGGCCTCCTCACGCAGCTGCCCTGGGTCAAGTGGCGTCTGTTTCGGCTAAGCCATCACTCAAACACCGTGCGTGACGGCAGCGCGGCCGAGCCGAGACCGCCAGGCACCCGGGCGGGCTGTCTCGCCTCCCGAGGAGCTCCGCTCACGCGCGGCAGTGCCCAGTGTGGTCTGGTCCGCACGCCAGGCCTTCTGAGGCTCTGGCCAGAGTGACCAGGACAGCGTCCCCCGGGGGCCACGGCCGCAGGCACCTGCCGCATGGGTGGCCGAGGTGACGGAGCAGCGCCGCGTGTCACGCGGCGGACACTGCCCGCCGAGCGGGTCCCCGCAGCCGTAGGGGCGCCGCGTGCCCAGACCCGCCAGGGCGCGCTCCCCCGCCAGGCAGCGAGTCCGCGCACCCCGCCTTCGAGCACTCACTCCGCACGGGCCGGCGCGCGCCTGCGGCCGCGGGCACTCACCGTCGTCCAGGTAGAGCTGGTCCAACTCCTGAGGCTCTCGCTTGACCGATACGGGAGTGGGGGCCAGACCCTGATTACTGTCCTCACGCACCTCGGGCAGCGGCAGAGGCCGGGCGGCTGCAGGCTCGGTTTCCGGAACCTTCGGCAGGCGGGGCTGCTGGTGGCCCATCCCGGGTGGGCGGGCTGCGCTGCAGGACTGCAGACAGGTCGGCTCGTGGGCGCCAGACGGCAGCGCGGAGGCGGGGCTGTGGGGACAGAGCACTGGCGGGCCCCCCGGGGGGCGGCTGCTGCTCAGCTGTGGACTCACCTGTGGCTGCAGCAGGGCGGGCGGCGGCGGCGGGGGGGAGCCGGGGTGCGCGCCCACGGGCCGCGGCGCCTCAGGGCTGGCGAGGGCCGCTCCGGCTGGCCGCTGGAGTCCGAGGGGGCCGTGGCCGGGGCCGGCCATGCCCTTGCTGTAGGGGGCGGAGGACAGGTCGTGGAGCTTCGGGCTGGCGCTGGGCGGCGGCGACATCAGGGCGCTCCTCTGGGGACAGGGCGGGAAGCCGGCCGCCACGCAGGAGCCCGGGTCGGGCGGCAGGGCCAGCTGCGGGCTGCAGCAGGGCTTCGGGAGCAGGCTCAGGCCCTGGCCCGCCGGACCGCAGGTCAGGGCCGGCTCGTAGTCGTCGGTGGGCTCTGTTTTTATGATTGGAACTGCGAGGAGGAAAAAAAGTCAAGTCAACACGCTGCGGGCGGGTGCGACGGGGCGGCCACGGCCAGGACACCCTCCGCAAACAAACAGCGCCTTGACTGAGTCCCTGTGTCTCCCGCCCGGCTCTCCCACCCAATTAAAGAGGCGGCCATGAGTCATCGGCTCCGCGAGCTGCAGCTGCTTCTCATGCCGAGAGCGCGGCTTTGTTTTCCTTGGACTCTCCCGCAGCCCTGATGTGCTATAAAAATCCATTTGCAAACGGCAGTAGGAGCCCTGGACCCGAGGGCCCGCGGATTTGTAGCAATCAAAGCGCAAATGTGCACTTGGACGCGCGACGGCATCTGTGTGCTACCGACGCCCGTCGGGGCAGCGTCTGCGCGGGCGGGGAGCCTGGCGGGGGGACAGCGGCCTCCAGGAGCCGGGGGCTCGACGGCATAGACAAGCGGCCTCTCCTGTGGGAGGCGCTTTCGGCACGAGAGGCGCCGCCGCCCTCCTCCTCCCTGCCCTTCGGCCTCTGCTCCGGGAGGGCAGCAGCGGCCGATGGGACAGACCTTGGGCCCCCCCCGCCCCCCGTCACCCCCGCATTGGGAAGCGGACGAACCCTAGGAGGGGCCGGGACGCAGGCGGCAGCCGGTGGAGGAGGAGAGGGTCCTACGGCAGCTGCGGCCGGGCACTGGCTCCGCTCGGCTCCCTCTCGCCCCCGGGCCCTGCCCGCCCTCGCTCGCGCCCGGTCCTGCTGTCTTGGCGGCTCCGGGCCTCTCACGCCCACTTGCAGGGGCGTCGCGGGGGCCACGCCCGCATTCTGAGAGGGGCCGAACTCCCCCACACAGCACGCCCACGCCCCGTGGACGCCCTTCCGGCCTCAGCGGCTGTGGCGGGGACGCGCTGCCATCACGCGCTCCGAGTCCCGTGGCTGCTCCCGCGCACGGGGGAGGGGCGCCCCTCCGTCACGGCCGAGCCCCCCGCGCCCAGGACGGACGCACAGGCTGGGCCGCCTCCTCCGTAAGCGAATAAAAGGGGACCTGCGTCTTGAGACAAAATGTCCGAGGAAGGCCTTGCCCCAACAGGTGCGCCGCCTGCCCCGCCTCACGGTTGGGCACCCGTGGGCCCCCAGCGGGTGGGGGGAACGGCGGCGCGGGAGCCGCCCTGTGGGCCCTGGGCCTGGCGCCTCGTCTGTCACTGGAAGGCGACGCTCAGACTAGACGGGTCGGCCCATGCCGGGCGAGGGGCCCCTCAGAACCCCCGCGGCCCGAGAGCTCGGCTCCGGGTGGTTTGCAGCGGAGCGGAGCGGCCAGCCAGCACTCACGGCCGCCCACCGTGGGGCGTCCCCCGCCCCCGCCCACAGACCACGGGGCGTGGTGTGGAGTCCCCGGGGCCCGGGTGGTGCGGACCAGCCACAGCGACGCCGAGGCCTCCGGCCAGCCCCTGCGGCGACCGCGGCCCCACGGCTCTCCGACGCCGCCCCGTGCCCGCGAGGCCCGAAGGCGTGGGGGTCCGTGTCCGGGGCACGACCAGCCCCGCGCAGCCGGCCTGGCCGAGGGCGGCAGCCTCACGCCGCTGCCGGGGGGAGGGCGCTCAGCAGCCACTCTGACCCCGCCGAGCGCCAGCGCCCCTTGCTCCCCAGGCCAGGCTGGACGTGCCCGTGCACCGCCGTCCAGAGGAGGCTGCGGGGGCCGCGGGGCCGGGGGGACAAGGAGAGTGGGCCGTTCTCGGAGTAAATGGCAATCCCGGGCCCATGTCGCCGGGGACGCCCCCGGTCTGGCTGGGAGCCCCGGGCGGGGGACGCGGCTCCTGAGGGGCACGTGAGCCTGCGGCGCCCACCGCCCCACGGCCGCCGCCGCTCAGGCCCCCAAGGGCAGTCCCCGGGGCTCCGTGTGTCTGCGGGCCCCGTGTCCCCGGGCGCATGCAGGACTCCTGGCTCCGTCAGGGGGCCCCTCAGAAAGCCCTTCCGCGGGGTCGGCCCCGAGCTTTCCCACAGGCCCCCCCGGGACGTGGTCCTGCGAGCGCCCCCAGCCGGGGCCCCCCTCTGCCGGGCCCAGCCCCCTCGTGGTACAGCCCCCGCCACGCGTTCCACGTCCACAGACAGGCAGCGCCGGTGCTGGCCCGGCTGCCAAGGCCGCGGTGACGTCCTCACAGTTAATAGGAAACAGCTGCAGCTGCTTGCTCCGCACCGGAGAGCCGGGCGCGGGGAGGCGGCCTGGGCTCCTGTGCCGGGAGGGGCGGGGCTGCGGGCCGGCAGCCTCTCCCGGGCGGCCCCGTCCTCGGGCCGGCCGGCGTCACCCTTCAGGACGGTCCCTGGGGCCAGCTCTGCGGGTCGGGGAGCAGAGTCCCGGCGCCCCTCCAGCCGGAATCCCCCCTCCTCCACTCCCAGCACGACGTGGACCCAGAAAGGGCCCAGAGACCCCGGCCCGGGGATGCGGGGCTGGCGGTCGCTGGAAACGGCCCCACGAACACACGCGTCCCTGGCAGAGCCCGCGTCCCCCGCTGGAGAGGCGCCGCGTGAACGTGGGCACCCAGAGCGGCCACGGCCGCGTTCCACGCGAGTTTGGTGACTTCGGGGTTCGCGTTAACTCAAGGCCCTCGTGGGCCTGACGCAGGGGTCTCGGCCGGCACGGGGGCCAGCGTCTCCCTCTCGTGACGCGTCCTCTGAGCTCTTTAAGCCCCTCACCCTGTCTGCTGCGCACGGCATTGGAGGGGCGGCCCCCACGGGCGGCCCTGGCAACGCCAGCAGCGTGGCCGCGACCTGCCCTCCATGCGGCCAGGAGTGACCTGCTGTCTGTCTGCTCGGTGGCCACAGGCCCACTTACAGCCTGTCAAAGCCCCGGGGCCCTGGCACTGAGCCCCACACCCTCTGCTCCGGGGGCCCCTTTTGGGAAGGTCTCTACAACAGGACATGTTGGAAGCCTGTGTGTGTCCCCCACCCCCCGGGCTGGGGGCGGAGAGGGAACATAGGACACGCAACACCCGCCAATGGCTTCAGGAGCCACCCTCTCGCCCCAGGAGAGCAGAGTGGACAGAGGGCTGAAGCCTTCAGGCCAGACCCCGGCCCCGTCCAGCCTGCCCAGGACGCTGACCTGGGCCTTCCCTGCTCAGCGGGCCCCACGGCAGCTGCCGCAGCCACTCTGGACCCACGAGGCGGCCAGATGCTCGCTGGCGGCCGGCTCCCCTTCACCACACGGCGCGCCCAGGGGCTCCGCACGGGCCACCGCGAGAGGCGCCCCTTGGGAACGGACTCAGTGCCTGGCACGGACACAACGTCCCCGCCCCCACCTGCTCTGGGGGCTCCGCACAGCCCGGGGAGCGGCCCGGACTGAGGTCCCCCAACGGCGCAGCACCCGGGGGCCCCAGGGCCGCCGCCTGACACCGGCTCCGCGACACGCAGGCCGACGCCCCCGGCGGCCAGGCAGGGCGACAGCCGAGGACGAAACACGCTCCGGAGGCCGATGCCCCGCGCTCGCGGCTCCTGCGGCGTCTGAGCCGCACTCCCCGCGTGGGGTTCAGAGGAAACGGACGCTCTCCGCACGTCGGAGCCACTGGGAGGCGGGAGGCCTCCGCGGCAGTGGCGCCGTCTCGCTGCCGCGGGCGGGGGCCGTCCACGCCGGAGCCGATGCCTCCCAGGCCCGAGCTGCACGCGATGCGATGCCCGGTGTCCTCCTGGCGCTGCCGCTCGCTCGTCGGACGGGAGGGCGGTGGCCGGAGGCTGTGCCGAAGCTCGGCGCGCGCCTGACACCTGAAGGTGCCTCCGTTCCTGTCCCGGGACTGGCGACGCCAGCGGCCCCCGCGTCTGGGGGACGTCCCTCGCAGCGACGCGGGGCCTTCTCAGCCGCACGCAGCCTCCGCAACGGCCGTCCACGGCCCACGGCGTCCAGGCCCGTTCCCGGCCTCGCACGGAGAAATGCCGGCCCGTGGGCTCCTGTCCCCGCGGGGCGCTGACAGACGGGAGGCACGGTCGAGGCGGCGGCCACACCCCGACAGCCTCGGCGACCGCAGCGGGGCCGTCCCCGCAGCCCGCCGCTGCCCAGGCCCCTGGCTTCCTGGGGCCGTGCCGCGTGCGCAGGAGCGCGGGACCCATCGCTTGGGGTCCGGCCGCCGTGTCACCCCGCCCACCGCGTGGGAGCCCCTCGGGGCTTGCCCTCTGGGTCGAGCGGACACCCTCGGCCCCCGGACACGGGCGGACAGCCGACGTCTGCCCCGCCCTCCACCCAGGGGTTCGGTGCATTGGCAAGCGCCCCCCCGGCCCCCGGCTGCTTCAGTCGAGGGACCGAACAGGGCAGTGGGGGCTGAGCTGGCGGAGACTCAGCCCCGGGCAGCGGCGAGTTCCAGGCGTGAAACCAGTTTGGCCACAACTTGGCTTTGGGCGCAAAGCTGCCGCTTGGACGAAAAGGCCGGGCGGGGCCGCTCCCTGGGGGTCAGCGGCCAGGGGATGGGCCCCCCGCCAGGCCGGGGCAGATGGTCCATGGCCTGTGGGCGCCAGGCCGAGCACGTTTCCTCTCTGCCACCGTCACACGTTGAGCACGCGGCCTGGCCGCCTTCGTTGGGCCGTGGGGGCGCGGACGCAGCGGGGGCCACCACCGGCGGCTCGGGCACGGGAGGCGGGGCGCAGCCGGCCTCTGGGCCGCCCCCCAAATCCCCTGTGCGCCGGGGCTGGGGCCCCTCCCGCCGCCCAGGGGCGTGAAGACAGGTGGTCTCGGCGCTTGTAACGGCGACGCCTGGGGACTGGCGTGTGTTAGTCAGAAAACCACGAGGGAATCTCAGGCCGACACGGCTGCAGCGCGCGCTGCAAGCCGCCTGCTGAGACAGGGCCCGCCCCCGCCTCCCTGTGCCGCCCGTGGGCACCCTCGCGTGTGTCTCCCGTTCAGGGACCTGGGCAGGTCACCCCGGGTCCCTACCCCGCTCCCAGGAGGGACGGGAGTCACAGGCCTCGCCCGGGACGTCCCACCGCACGGGCGGGGCTGGGAGGGGCCCCGCCGTCGCCCGCGAGCTGCTGTGCTGGGGATGGTCA